TGCCCGGCGGAGCTGCCGTCAGTCCGGGAGCGAGGGACACCTTGTGAAGAAAGTGCAATTATTTATTTTTTTTTCTTATTGTTTTGTTTTCTGCCGATAGCTGCTTCCTCCTCCTCTGACCAGGGATTCATCAGCAAGCGGTAAGGGTGAATGTGAGCTCGACCGCCCGACCTCGGAGGGCTCCCGTCCTTTGCCAGTTTTCAGTGATGTCTCCTGGTTTTGAACTGTCATGCCGGCAAGAGCACAAAGTCATCGTTCACGTCGACCATTGGCACATAGAACGAGGGCACCTCGTTCACGCAGAGGGATTTGTGCCCCGCGGGGTCCAGCTCCTGCACCTTCAGCTGCCACTCCATCCTCTGCACCGCGTTCAAGGCAGCAGCTTCGTGTTGCTGTCGCATGAGCAGGCATGTCTGGATTGGGGGGAAAAAATAAAACCAAGCAATGATGAGGGGTGAGCAGGAGAGGGTGGGAAAGGCTCCCGCTGCCCATCCCACCCGGCCAAGGCAGGGGACCTGTGGTCATCGTGGTGGGCAGAGCAGCAGATGGAGCAAGGGACACCACACGCGTCCTCGCGGGATGGAAACCCAGACTTGGGACATCTGGTGAGCTCAGTCCCAGCAGGAGCAGGGGCAAACCCGAAAGGGATTTCTGGGGTGGCTTCTGAAGGCTTGTAAGCACTCAAGAGCACTGACCCCGCTGGTGACAGCCTCAGCAGACAGTCCCCAACAGTGGCCCTCAGCTGCCCAAGAGCAGGATCCTGCTCCCTTCATGGGAGCTGCCAAGTCCCTCTGTGTCACCAGCTGAAAGCACCATTGTCCCCTCTCCCTACCACGCCCAAGTTTGCCACCCAGAGCTCTGCAGAGCACTCTGCAAACCACCTTGTCCAGCTCACTGCAGCATGTGTTGCTGGCGAAGAGCAGGTCCTGAGGGGTTTCACTGACCGAGAAAGCTCCACACCATATGGCATGAAGCAGAGTAACAGCCAGAGAGACAACGAGACAACCCCCAGCAGAACACACCTCCCTCCCCTCTTTTTGTAACCAGTAGAAGCAACTGTGCTCCCCCAGTCCCCGCAGAAGCTCCCACCTCTCTGCCACGCCATGCACAGAAGCATCCCCCATCGTGTGACGCTGCCCAGGTCACCCACCCTGGGACACCAGCTCCCAGCAGATTTTTGGAAACCACAGCAGCAGTTTCCAGGCTACAGCAACAGCTGAGACCCTCTCGGGGAAACCCTCCTGGCAGGAGGCAGAGCAGCAGGACCCGCTGCTGCCCGAGCACCGGGGCACCCACGCCTCTCACCTTCATTCGATCGTACTTGTCGTCCACATCTTGCAACCAAGAAATGAACTGTCGCGCGTTGAAACGGTCTCTGACCGATTTGTTTTCGTCTCCCTAAGCAAAAGACAGCGAAAGGGAATTCCATGGTATTTTTTTCCTTTACCTGAAGCAGTGACAGGTCTCACAGGCTGTATTCAAACCCTCTCTAAGGACACAGGCTCATCAGAAATGAGAAAGGTGCCAGCAGGGAGGGAGGACACGCTGCTCCCACCTGCTCTCACAGCTCTTTGCCAGGGCTTCACACCCAGATAAAGTCACACACACACACACACACACACTCCCCATTTTCTCTTGCTTGGAACAGAATCTGTCCATGCCAGCCCACCACACAGCCACACCTCTCTGTCTTCTTCAACTCATGCCCAAGATCTTAAATATCTTTGCTGTAGAAGCACCAACACTTGGCTGGGCAATGCTGAGGGATAAATCAAGGCTCCTGGATCAATCTGCCAGGTCATGAATAAGTTCCAGTATCCCCCCTGCAATGCAGCATCACTCCTCACCGAGGAGCAGCAAGGCTGCTGGAGCTGTGGGGCGTGGGCTGCAGAGGGTGCTGCCAGGATGGCTCGGGACCACCGCAGCCACAGGGCCACCACCTGCAGACACCGGACACGATTCCCCCTTCTCCAGCACAGAACCACGTGAAATCGAAGGAAGAAATGATCACTTTTTACGGGCTGTGAGACAGAGGCTGGCTCTTTCAAAGCCATTATTCAGACACAAATCAATTTAATGGCTCTCTCCCCTTCCTTCAACAGGAAAAGAAATCCCAGAGTGAAGTAAAATTAACCTTTCGAGTGTGCAGAGGATCCTGATCGAGAAGAAAGGCAGAGGGTGCCGAGACTCACTGATAAATGCGAGTCATCACTGCTCCTGAAGTGCCACAATGCTCCCTGTATCCCTCTGTTCCCAGATGTATTTCCCTCCCCAGCACGCACACGGTCTATCCCAGAACATGCGGCACCAGAAACTGAGTCAGATTAGGAGGCTGAGGGGAGACCTTCTGGCTCTGTCCAAGTCCCTTGGAGGAGGGTGGAGAGAGGTGGGGGTGGGTCTGTTCAACCAAGGCCCAAGGGACAGGACAAGAGGAAATGGGCTCCAGTTGCACCAGGGGAGGTTTAGGTTGGAAAAAACAGGAAAAGCTTCTTCACCCAAAGGGCAGTCCAGCACTGGAACAGGCTGCCCAGGGAGGTGGTGGAGTCACCTTCCCTGGTGGGATTTAACAGACAGGCAGATGAGGTGCTGAGGGACATGGTTTAGAGGTGGAATTGTCAGTGTTGGGTTTATCATTGGACTCAATGATCTTAAAGGTCTTTCCCAACCACTGCGATTCTGTGATTCTATAACCGAGTGATGGGCTGGGAGGGCTCCTGTGAGACGTCCTGCACCTGTGTACCACGGTGGGTGACAGGCACCTGAGCAGGAAGAGGATGAGCAACTCCTGCCTACATCCCTCCCTCCTTCCCTCCACCCAGAAAAGCACCATCTCCCTCAGGGTCTTGCACAGCACCTCTGAGACACCTCTCCACCACCAAGACAGCACTGACCTGATTTTCTAGAGGCATGTTATAGACTTCGGAGTCCAGCAGCATGGTGCAGGCACTGAAGGGCACAGCCTGGTTGGCAATAGTCCTTGCTGCCCGACAATGAACTCGCAAAATCTCCTGCTCGCAGGAGACAATGAGTTTCTCCTGAGGAAGAGCAAACGAAGCAGTGAGCGTGGCAGCCTCTGACTCCTCAGCAGAGGAAATTCGGGAGCTCTTCCCCAGCAGGAGTTTCTCCCGGAGCGCTCCCTTACCCGCTCGATGCTGTGCTGGAGCCGCAGCTTCCCCCGGACGGCTTCCTGCTGCTTGAAGAGCTCCTTCAGAGGCTCTGCGAGCGACGGCGGCGGGGCGATCTGCGGGCAGACAGCAGTGAGGGTTAGAGCCAGCAGTGCTGCTGGGTGTGCAGCCCACAGGGGACACGCAGGGCCCTGCCCATGGCTCGACCATGCAGCTGGGATGTCCCTTGGCCAAGGGCTCGGAGAAGGAGTCGGTGCCACCCCGCCGGACGTGGTACGCAGCTCACCAGAGGAGAAAGTCTCCCTGAGAGCAGGCAGGTGGCAAAGGACAACGTCCTGCCAGCGCTCAGACTGCAGCGAGGGGTGAGACAACAAGGCAAGAGGTGTCCAGTGCTGAGAGATGAGCTCAGCTGGCAGAACTGGAGCTGGAATCACCACATGTGCTGCAAGGGCTGTCTGCAAACGGACCTGAGCGTGTCTGACAGGGGAATGATGCTGTTGGGGAAATGAGCAGCCCCATCTGCACAGCTGGAAGGTCCTGATCTGTCCTGCGCTTTCCAGGGGAGCAAGGTGCTCATCAAGCACGGCCCAAACCACAGAACAGAGGAGCAAGTGGCTCCAGGTGAAGTCTAGGAAGGAGCAAGCAGATGTGAACACGGGCTGTGAGCACGGCGGTGCTGGAACAGACAAAGCACCTGTCAACTGACGCAGACAGCAGCTCGAGGAGGGACCACGCTGCGACAAACACCCGCAGATCGGGGTGTTTCACCCTGACTGCAGCAAGGAACCCAGCCTGACACGGCTGGTCCTATTGACCCTCCTGCTCCAGGCTGGATCCCGGATTCACTGCCTGCAGCACTGAGTTTATTGATGCATTTCCATTAGCAAGTCTGTTCATGCAGCACAGCAGTGAACGCAGATCCCGCTGCCAAGGAGCGAGCGCCATCGGCAAGTCAAATATCAGAGCTTGAGAACACAAAGGAGGAGTTAAGAACCAGCTTTTTTTCTACAGTTTCTCTAGGTTCATGATCCAATTACTACACTGCTTGGAAAAGCACTTTCACCTTCCAGCCCCAAATCTGCTGGATTCATACAAACTCCCTCTAAAACCTGAACAAACCTCAGGTTCCAAAGCACAGCCCAAGGTCTCTGCAAAACCACCCCACCTCAGAGGACGCATTTATCACACAACCATCCACTAACCAAGGCTTAGACCTGTCATCACAAGCACTTTCTAAACACAGGCTAAAAAGCATCAGCACTGCCAGGGCTGCCATGCACAGGGGACAATCTGGCAGCAGAGGAGGGGACAGTCCCTGATGCTGCGGTTTAAAGAGAGAAGGTGACTCACCACTGGAATATGGAGCTTGCTTAGAGGTTTGCCATCCAACAGGTAGGAACCCGTGTAGGTGACGTACTCGGCGTAGCACTGCGGAGCTTGGGGAGTAATATAGCAGAGGATTTTCCGCTTCTCTTCGATCTTTTTCCTGATCTGGAGGTACTCAAAGTAGGGGTTGGACCTGTCACTGTGATAAGGTTCAATGTCGTCCAGTTTTATAGCATCTACGATAGCTGCCAGTGTTTGCTGGATCATCTCCCTCGTCTGCTGGTTGGACGTGTTGATCTGCTGCTGCAGCTGCTGGTTGGAGCGCTGGAACCGGCGCTTGCGCGGGTGCTGAGCCTGGGAATCGTCCTCCTCCGTGATGCGGCCTTTGGCACGCGTGGCGGGCGCAGAGACGGGAGGAAATTCCTTCTCAGAAGAGGCAGCGTTCTGCTTGTTTTGGTTGGCGAGCATCTGAGCCCGGTTCCTGGTAATCCGCTGAGGAATCTCTTCTATTTTGGGTGGTTTGGGAGCTTCTGCTACTGGTTTTTGTACTGGTTCAACGACTTCTGCTTGAGCGTTGCCCGGAGGTGCATCTGCCTGGGAGGAAGGGACCTGGCTCCCAGCACGTGCTGCAGCACCCTCCTGTGAAACGCTGCCCTCGGCGGTGGCCGCGGCTGGGGGACAGGTCTGGGAGCTGCTCTCTGCCACCCCACCAGAAGATGACAGGTCTTCGTGCACGGCCTCTGCCTCTTTGCTCTCCGCCTGAGCAGACTCGGAGGGGGTCTGCTGGAGAATCTGTGCTTCCGAGTCCTCCGCTCCTTTTTCCTCAGCTACATTCAATGCTTCTGAGGTGGCTTCTGGTGCAGCCACTTCTGGTTTCTGCTCCTCTGCTGGTGGCTCCGTCTCCACAGGCAGGACAGCAGCTGCCTGGCTGGCTGGCAGCTCCTCCGGCTCGCCGGACGCTATTACGGACGCGTTGGCTTTAACCATCCCAGTGCTTGTTTCTGAAGCTGCTGCTGGGTTTTCTTCTACTGCTTCTGCCTCCGTCATCTCCGTCTCTGCAACGTCCTTAGGTTGGAGCGGCAGCTCTGGTAGCGAGAAGGGCCCGAGGTCCAAGTCCTCTTCTGTATTGGTGAAGGGATCAGGCCACGTTACCGCCTCCTCTGTATTTGCCGGTGCAGCGTTATTATTTTCCAAATAGTTGTTTTCTGGCACGCTAACAACTTCTGCCTGAGGTTCTGCTGGCATACAAGGGGGCTCTGGAGGTATCTCAGGTGCTTCTTCTGGGAGAGGCTTGCAGTTATTGAAGAACGTGTCTAATCTAGTAGGGGACATGTATGGAGCTTGCTCTTCAGTGTTGGCTATTTCTCCTGGAACTGCTTCCTCAGCATCCTCCTTGACTTCATCGAGCCCTGGTTCAGACACTGACAGAGGGTAAGATATGGGAGAAACGGGGTAGGAAGTATCTGTGGGAATGAAGGCTACTGGTGTAGGATGAATCGGCTCTAGGGAACAGAGCTGAGGTTTGGGGGACTCAGAAAACCTCTGGGGAGATTTCATCAGAAGCTCTGAGCCCATGGACCAGCCGACGGCGTGCTCTGCCGGGTTCCCCATCAGGTTGGGAGGAATGGCGGTGTCAGGGTTTCGGGAAGGAGGGTTATCCCAGTCTATATTGTTTTGTTCTGGCATACCTGAACCAAAATGGTTTTCTTCAATTGGTGGTAAGTAGGTAGGCTCTGGGGGCATGATGGAGGCGGTAGCTTGCTGCTCTTCCGTGGTATCCAAGGGCATGCCGAGGTCGGGGGGAAGAGCGCTTTCTACCGAAGGAGCCAGCAACTCATCTCTGTGTGAAGGGGAGGATTTCGCTTGTAAACCAGAAAAGACGCTTTCAGGCGACTGGGCGACTCCGCTGACAGCTCCGGGAGCACAGTGCAAAGCTTCCACTTTTGGTGATGAAACCCCATAATCTGGTGAGTAATACCCAGGAGATAAACACTGGAACTTCTCAGCGGGAACAGGAGGAAGGGGAACTTTCTCCTCCATTAAATGCTGCACTGGAGAGCCGTAATTCGATGTCGCCGGGACGCTTTGCTGCCTGAAAAATTTCTCTCCGACACTGAATTCTTCTTCAGGAGCCCTTCTGATATCAACCGAGATGGAACGATAAAGGTTGGTGGAGGGTATGGTGCGAGTGGGGGTCTGACTTGGATTCTCGGGGAGCCCGCTGGAAACATTTGTGTATCTGTCGAAGAAGGATGGTGAACAGGCGTTCATGGACATGGTGGATATGGGCAGCGAGTGCTGCGAGTCCGCACATTCAAACATCAGGTCCGTGTAGTCTTCGTTGCTGCACGAAGGAGTCCTGGGCGTCTGCATCACCTCCTCGTAGCTTGGACAAGAGACAACCGACGCCGGGGTTGGGACTCCCGTCGGCCGGTTCTGATCTGGCCTGGGAGATGCCGGGAGGATCTCCTTCAGCTGAGGACCCGTTATCCAGTCCTTGGAGTCTGTCCCAACAGCAGGCTGTGCCTTGTTCTCTGGTGACAGTATAGGAGTCAGTGGACCCAACTCTTTAAGCTTCTTGTCCTTGAGTTGAGTATCCAGCGTTAACGGCTTCTTTGTTGCCAGATCCAGACTCCTCTTGCGTGCTTCTTCCGAGCTTTTAAGTTTGTCCTTTAATTTGGGGTCTCCAGACCTGTGCCTCATTTTCTCCATTTGCTTCATTCTCTCTTTGTGCCTTTTGTGGCGCTCCTCGATTTCCAGGTCTTTCTGGCTCAGCATCCTCTCAAAGCTGGTCATCATCAAATCACCATCTCCCAGGAGTTTCTCCCTTGGCCTGGCATCTTTCTTGCCGCTGTCTTTGGACAGGGTTATTTTTTCATTCCCGTTGCTTATTTTTATTGAGTCTGATTTGTCTTTTTCTTGGTTCTCCTTGAGCTTCTCCTTCAGTTTGGTTTCACCGAATTTCAGGTTGTCCTCCTTTGATTTATCTTTAAAGGTGGTAACTTGAGGACTGTCCTTGTCTTTAAGCGTTGACTTTGGTTCGTCTTTGTGATGTTTAAAGAAACCATCTGCATGTTTGTCTCTATGTTTTTCCTTTTCCTCCTTCCATTTCTCCTTGTGTTTATCTCGTTTCTTTTTCTCTTTCACTGTGCTGATGCTGCTGGAACCGTAAGTCTTTTCTTTTTCTGCCTTCTTTGACAGCTCTCTTTCAGAATCATTTTTATCTTTCTTTTCAGAAAATAAGTAATCAATGCCTTTCTCTGGTTCCTCATCAGGCTCTGCCTTCATGTTGTAGGAAGCGCCAAAAGCCTCCCCATCCACAGAGAAATCTTTTTCATAATGAGTGGAATCCTTCCTGCTGCTGGAGTCTTTGAATTCTTCTGTTTTTTCCTTTTTCTCTGTCTTCTCCTTCTTTGCTTTTTCCTTCTCGTGACTTTTCTTTGATGAAGATGAGGAATGTCTGTGTCTCTCCTTCTCCTTGAGTTTGTCCTGCAAGCAGGGTAAAGGGAGAGAGTCCTTAAACTTTTCTTCAGCAGCATCAGCAAGAGAGAGGTTAGAAGACTCAAAGAGGCTGGTCAGTCCTGGCTCTTGTCCTCTATCTGTGAAGCTGTCAGAAGAGATCTCGCTGATTTTGTCGTTGGAGTCATCTCTATAGTCATTCAGAGCCTCCTCCTCCAATTTCTCCAGCAGGCTCTTCTCTGACTCCCCTCCTTTCGAAGACTTTTTCTCTTTGGAATGCTCTTTATCCAGCTTCTCCTTGTGCTTGCTTTTCACCTTGTCGTCACTGGCGTGTTTCTTTTCAGCCTTTTCTGGGAGCTTTTGCTTGTTTTTCTTCTCTTGAGTGGAATCTATGGATGTTCTGTCTTTTCTGTCCTTGTACTTCTCGGTAGAGTCTTTATCTTTCTTCTCTTTGTGTTTTTCAAAGGAACTCTTCTCCTTCTTCTCTTTTCCTCCCTCTGATGTTCCTTTGTCCTTTTTCTTCTCCTTCGAGTCCTTATCTTTCTGCTTCTCTCCGGAATGCTGCCGGTCGGAGGAGTACTTGCGGTGCTTGTCGGGGTACAGCTCCTTCTCAGCAGCCACGCCGTCATCCTTCTCCTGCAGACTGTCCAGACGATGCATTTCGCCCCCAGCAGAGTCGCTGACTTTGAACCCAGTCAAGCTGTAATCATCCCTCTCGTCTTCGCTTTCATCCGTGAAGATGTCTGCGATGCTGTACCAGCTCTTCTCCTTGCCTTTCTTCTCATCCTTTTTCTCGGAGAAGTCCTCTCGATCCGTGGAGAAGTTTTTCTCTTTCTTCTCTTTAACTTGGTCAAAAGAACTCTTCCTTTCTTTGTCTTTGCTGTGCAGGTCTTTGTACTTCTCCTTAGTTTCCTTTTTCTCTTTGAAACTCTTGTCTAGTTCTTTGTCTTTCAGGATTTTCTCAGGAGGAACTTTTTCATTTTTCTCCTTGTCGCCTTCTTTGGATTTTTCCTTGTATTTTTCTGGCTTCACCTTTTCTTTTTTTTCTTTCTCAGGAGCATCTTTCTTCTCCTTTTCCTTCCCAGAATGGTGCCTCTCCCAACTCTCCAGAGATTTACCACTGAACTCAGGGTCAGACTTCTCCTTGAAGAACGTTTCGCAGCCGTATTCTTTAAAGTCATCTCGATAGGGTTCCTCCTGCTTTGTTTTGGTTTCTTTTCGATCTTTCGAGCCATCGGAGGAATCTTTTCTGTCTTTGTTGGTTTCAGCTGTATCTTTTTCTTTCCTCTCCTTGACGCTCTCTGCAGAGTCCTTCCTTTTCTTGTCCTTTTCAGGCAAATAACTAGGGGTGAGTTTGTGTCTGTCCGTTTGGTCCTTTTTCTTCTCAGAGCTTTTCTCCACGTAGTCCCTCTCTTTCTTCTTTAAGAAACTGTCCTTTTCGTTCCGTTTCTCGTTGTACTCCTTCTTCTCTTTTGTTTTATTTTCCTTTTTCTTGTCTTTAATTTCCTCTTTCACAGGTTCTATGATTAGCTTTGCCACTGTGTCATTTTTAATCTCCCTGAAATCTGTTACTGGAGAATCCCAGCTATCTTCACCTTTGAAATCGAAGGATGAATCAGAAGACAAGTCTGAAAACCACCTCTCTTGCTGATCATCCGAAAGGCTGAACTTTGTGTCCTCGCTCTCAGGAAATTGGTTTTTGCTATTAAACTCATCAAACCCAGACTCATCTCTGTAGAGTTTTTCTTTTTTGCATTTTTCTTTCTCTTCCTTGAAGGATTTTTCTTTCTCTAGTTTCGAAGCCTTCTCCTCCTTGAGCTCATTCTTCTTTTCAGATTTTGACTGTTTGTCCTTTGACTTCTTCTTTCTCTCCTCCTTGTGTATTCTTGGCTTCTCCTCTTTGGGAGATTTCTCCTTTACAGGTTTCTCTTTTTCTGATTTACTCAATCCTTCTCTGAAGGATTTGCTCATGTCTTTACTACCATCTTTGACTTTTCTTAATGATTTCTCCTCTTTCGAGGATTTTCCAGTCTCATCTTTAAACAACCATTCCTTCTCCTCCCCTTTACCTTTGGGGAGCTTTTCCTCCTTCTTACTGTGTTCTCGCTCATGCTTTAACACTTTCAATTTGTTTTCGACTGGATTTTCTGTCTCTACTATCAAGCCTTTCTCAGGCTTTTGTTTAGAGTCCTCAAACTCAAAAGAAAACGTTTTGATTATTTTAATGTCTTGGCTCATGGGACACTGCCCCTTCTCCTTGTTTTTATGTTTGTGTTTCGTTTTATGCTTTTTAACAACCTTCCCCTCCTTGTCCAGCTTTGGAATTGCTCCATCCACATTGCTATGGAATGAATTCTTTTTCTCGGAAACAGTGTTGTGTGTGGTGTTTTTCTTTTTGTGCTCTGGTTTCTTTCTGACTGGCTTTAGTGACTCTAAGCTCGAGTCCTCGGACGAGTAGTCTGACTCGCTCGTCAGTCTCGTCCTGGTGGAGTCCGATAAGGAACTGACATCTGACCAAGCTGGAGAAGATATGGTTTTCCAATTGTCCGTCCTCCAGTGCTTGGAGTGCTGTTCTGTAAGATTAGGATTATGTTTCTGGGATGCTAAACTCCCATGAGAAGAGGTCGATGAGGCAGACAGAGAGTTAAACAAGGAGGATTCCTTTAGCACTAGCCTGGAGTCCTTTACACAGCTAGAGCTCTGAAGAGAGTCTCTATCATCCTCCTCACTCTCCACGTTTTCACTCTCTGATTCAGAGGAACAAAATTTGTCATTTTTTTTGCCAAACCGAACCTCTTTGCTTTTCGTCTCCTTCTTCCGCTTCTTTTTTACTTTGCTTTTCTCCTTCTGTGGCTTTGTGCTGGCGGGCTCCCGAATCTTACTGCTGGGCAATATCGAGTGGGTCGTGAGTCGCAGCTTCTCCCCCGTCCCCACAGGAACGCTGGTCTCCTCCTCGTCCGAGCTGTCCGACAGGATGCGGTGGGCAGCTTTCTTTGGTGTAATTGTGTTATTTTTAGTATAAGTTTTCACTTCCATTTTGGGTATGGAAATGAAACTGTTTGCTTTAGTCTCTTTTCTGTAATCCTTTTTCAGCAAATGTTTGTCATCGACTGGCGGGACCCGGTCCTGCTCATCGTCCTCATCAAATTCATACTCATCCTTCACCGGGGTGATGGTTTTGGGGGGCTCCTGGGCCTTGGGCTTGTGCTTCAAACCCTTCTCAAACTCTGAGTCCGTGTTATTGCCATCGACAGAGCTGGAGGGAGCGAAGGAAGGGGCGTCCTCCTCTTCTGAGGTCTCTGTAAAAAGAGAAGAACAATGTGTTAAGGGCTGTGAGGAGCTTCGGGGAGAGAACAGCATCAGTCTGCTGCAGATGTGAACCCCTGCGGATGGCCCTCCTGCTCTTTGGCCTCACCCAGCCTTTGCCAAGTTTGCAGCTGCAAGCTTGAAATGCCAGTCTGGCAGATCTTTTAGAACAGAACAGCTATCCAGCCTCAAACCTGCATGGGGTGATCCTCAGAACACCCCGGGTGGATCAAGAGAATAACTTTCTAAAAGGGTTAGGACTGCACACAGCGTAGGTGAAGACTCCCTGTAAGCCTGAAACTCTAATTAGCACTAATTAAAACCTGCAGCGTTCCCACCTGGCATAGCCACAGTGGTGGCACTTGTGGGACAGACTGGCAGGGCTGAGGGACAGCCTGGGAACACGACCTGGAACACCAGCACGGGTAGAGCTGAGCACCGTGCCCTCCGACCGGGGAGGGGTGGGAGTAGATGACGTGCACACAAACCCCCCCCTCCCTCGGCACGAGCTGGAGTATCACCCACATTTCAAAGGTAAGATCTCAATGTACCTGCAACTGGCTTCCAATCCTACATCTCGACTGCACCGGGCAAGTGATCTCAACGTAGGCTTCCAGGGCAAACAGCTAGAGCTCCCGGAGCTAAAGCTGGTAGTTATGTTGTCTGAATTTGGGTTACAGCTACAGGTGGACTCCTGACCGTGGCAGCAGCACGCAGATATTCTGACAATGGTCTAACTTCACTGTCCTCTTAACGCCTCTGTATTAACAGACAGCTGCAGGCCACAAGCATCACTCCCGTGTTCACATAAAAGTCAACCTCACCTGTTGAGCTCTCTTCACTAGAGGGGTACGTGGTCTTTCCCAGGAGCAGATTCACCATGGTGGGAGAATTAGCTACTTTTAAAGGTGTCTCGCCCTTCCTGTTGCTTTGATGAGGATTCCCTCCATAATGTAACAACAATTTCACCACCTGAAAAGAGAAATTGAGATGTGAAGATCCTTGTGATGTTTCAATTCCAGGCATTTTCATATATCACTAAAAGGGAGGTGTCCTCGAGTGGTCTCTCCTCAGGATAGTCCTTATGGTACTAACACTCATCAATAAGAAAGGAGTCAAAAAACCAGCAACACAAACCAACCTGGGCATGAAAGAAGGGAGAAGAACAAGACACAAAGCTACGTTCCCTCTCATAATCCAGAAGGAGAAGAATGACCTGTCCCCTGCACAAGGGAAATCCAGCAAAAACCTACCTTGAAGTGCCCGTTGTTTGCTGCATCGTGCAGCGGGGTGTCGTCATCCAACCCCTTGGTGTTGACTTCGGCACCGGCAGCGAGCAGCTGCTTTGCCACATCGTAGTAACCCCGGTTGCACGCCTCGTGCAATGCCGTCCAGCCTGCAAGCAAAGGGACACTCAGAACATGGACATCACCTTCGTGGAGAGAGTTGGGGACAGTGAAAAGTCACCTCCATCCACAGACGCTGCAGATGTTGGTGAGTCAAAGGGTCTGTGGCTCTGATGGCCAAGAAGATGGTCTCCTTTGCCCAGCTCCCCATGGCACAGCAGGAAAATACCTGCAGCTCTGCTCTCCTACTCCAATCAGTCAGTAGCTGAATGAATCCCACTCTTCCCCCTGGTCACACAATGAGTGACAGACAGATCATCTGCCAGAAAGGACCCAGCCCCAGGAAATGGGAAGGCAAAGTTTTGCATAGGAAATTCAAGAGAACTGCTGATGTCGTGTGGAAGGCAGGTCTCAAATCCTTTCCCCTTCCAACTCCTCTGTAAAGGAACCACTGCTGCTCAGATCAGAACTGCACACATCGCTCTCAAACATCCCCCACACAGACCTCACAAATATTTTCCGCAGCCATGCTCCTGCAAAACAGCCCCCCCGGCTCGGGGAGAAACCAAACAGCAGGTCTCCACAGCAACAGTGGCTCCAGTTCTCAAACAAACCTCCGAAGAACACGGAATGAAATATTTTATCATGTTCAAACAGACTATTTTCAAGCAAAAACTGTTTTGAAGTTTCCCAGCAAATGTGAGTGGCTCCTTGGGTATTTTGCTGATAGCGTCGTGGGAGCTCGTTCCGTTACCTTCACTCGGAGCATTAAAAAGGGGCACCTGTGACCAGAATTAATCACAACTGATAGCTCAGTCTAGGACTGGTATTAATCACACAGCCGAGGGAACATGGATATCTATTTATAGCCCCAAAATCGTGCGAAGAGAACAGCAAAGAGCAAAGTCAAGCTCTTGGATGTGCTGGAAGAAAGGATGCTTCACGCTCATTCAGCCCCATCGTTGGTACAGGTCACCCTTCATCATCTCACAGCCGCCTTCTCGCTGCAGGACTTGGGGCTGTGCCCATCCCAGGCCTGGCCACAGCCCCACACCCAGGCTCCTTTCCTCATTCCCACCACCAGAAGCAGGAGCCTGGCAGCACCACTGAGGAGGAGGAGGAGGAAGAGGAGGTGGTGCTACTCCTCAGCTGAGGCTCAGGATGGTCAACGTCTCCTCGAATTCAGGCACGTGGCTGGCACAGCTAGGAGCTTGACCTTGACCCTCATCCACACTGCTCTCCCACATTTGGTACTTAAAACCAAACCCCAGAACACTGTAGGCCTCAGGGTTGGCATCACTGCTCAACCCTGGAGTGATGCTTTTACAAACCCACTCTTTTCTATATATTTTTGTGCCTCATTTCTTATATTTTAAGTAAAATAAAGGGCTACAACAGCCCACCTCCCTTCGTAAACTCCCCTCCAGACGTTCAAGATGGTACCTGTGTGGAAGGGCAGAAGAAAACAGACCAGAGGGTCCTGGGCACAGCTTCAGAGGTGGAGCCACAGCAGCCCCAAGGATCGCTACAGACCAAGCCCAGCCCAGCATCCCTGCCCTGAGCGGGAGCATGTTCAAGGACAGCCTTGGAATTCAGCTCCCACATTCCAACAAGGGAACTGATGCTTTTCAGGGATTTATTATTTTGACAAAACTGTAGCAGTGTTTGGTTTGGTTTTTTTAAAAGGACAGCAAGGCTTCTTCCTCCTCAAAAAGCAAAAAGGATTCTTTTTGGTTAATCCCCTCTTTACAAGTAGCAAACCCACGTTATAAAGAAACTACGTTCTCTGGTGGGAGCCATTCTTGGAGGTGGAAGATGCAACCAGGTGGGAAAAGGTGTGGATCCGTGGGCTGCCCAGGCAGTGGTGCCAACGGGCTGGTTACCTGCAAAGTCTTTCACATTGACATCTGCACCCTCGATAATGAGCTCCTTGATGCGCCGGGCATCTCCTCGGATGGCAGCTCGATGCAGCCGAGTCTCTCCTCGCTCGTTTCTCTTATTTACTTTATCTTTGGTTTTGGAGGCAGAGTTAGGAGTTCCCTTCTGACAAACTGTAGACTGAGAGGGATGCTTTGGTGTTGTGTCAACTGCACGGAAGAGAGAAACAGAGTCAAGATTCGCAATCCAGAGGAAGCCCTACACCCTTAGAGGGAGCTCTTGCAACACATTTCATCTCATTTCTCCCCCAAAAAGCTCAGCACAAAGCACCGAGAGGCAACTGAACCTTCTGAAGTCGATGTGAAGACAGAGGAAAGCCTGTGTGTGTGTGTAATACAGATATTAATTGCAGGCTGCTAAAGCCCACTGGAGAGAAGTGCAGTCCTTGCGAGGACTGTAGGCAATCCCATGATTTAGGAGCAGACAATGCAGCTCTTTACTCTAAAACCTCATTTCCTAAGGGAAGAGGCTTTTTACCAAGTACATGTGAGGTCTGACAGCCTCGGGAGGAGACTGCACATTTCCTGGGAGAATGTTTGAATGCTCTGAAGACTGCAGAGCTTTTTGCCTTTTCTGTCTTCCCAAGTTAACACCGACCTAAAGCAGCGAGATTGGCCTTAAGAACAACCAAACACGTGGCTAAAAGCTGCAGTGTTTGTGTGTAGGATGCAGATGTGTGTGTACGGATAGCACAGTGCCTCTAAAAACCCCGGAGGGGTCATGTATGCAACAGATAAAAATTACTAAAATACAAAATCCGTGGTAAACACATTCCAGCTGCTCCCCATCTCAAGTTACAGTTGCACTGGTTACACATCTTCTCCCTCTCCACAAGAAGAGACATTCAGAAACCCACAGAGATGGTATTTTAACTTTATTCACAATGCTCCTTTCCTGAGTCAGCCTGAGATGCCAGCAGAAAATGCAAAGTTCTGATGGGGAGGAGGCTCCCGTGGAATCAAAGCTCCAGTTAAGTGGCCAGGGAAGGCTCAGTGGTGGCCTGGAGATGGCCTGTGGGACATCTCCTGCTACTGCCTTATCCTGGGAGGAGGAAGGCCAGCCCCAGCCACGCGCAAACCCTGGCAGCAGCTGCAGAGCCCCGTGGGAGTGGGTGTCCCGCTGCCCCGCTCCAGCATCACGCTGCTTCTGTATGAGGTTGGAGAAGGTGTCCCAAAACCCAGCACCCATCCACCATGCTGAGAAAGGGGGGACACCCCATGGAGAAGCCTATCAGCCCCCCTGCACCATGCTGGGGGTGGCAGCTCATCTCTGCTGCTGGCAAGGTGCTACTCGGTGGTCACCCCGGGGACGGGCATGGAGCAGCCCAAGTATTTGTGAGCTTCTCACTACAAACTCACACCCACCCACCCACACCACCGAGCAAAAACCACCCTCCAGATCTCACCTGGGCTGTTTGCAGACTCCTCTGCTGTCATCTGCATAAGGAGAGCGACTTGCTGGCGCTCGGAGAGCGGGTAGCCTGCCCGGATCCCCGAAAGGCCCATTCCGAAGAGCAAGCCAGGCTTTCTGGTGGCGGGCTCCTTCTTAATCCTCTTCCGCTCTGGACCCTGCTTTTCTGTGAAGAGACACAGAAACACAAGCTGGGAATGTCACTGTAACTGAAACCACGTTTGTTTCTGAGCGAAGTGCCAACAGCTCTCCAACTCTGCTTCCATATCTCACACACTGAAAAGCCTACGGTGAAGGATGCATCACCGGTACCCGGGGCAGCCACCCAGCCACCGCTCCTGCTGCCCACCAGCTCCTCCAACAGCCTCTCCTGGCACAGATTTCTACCCATTCTCCCCCCACAATCAAATGGCAGCACAAGAGGGAGGGAGCGGGTCCTTCAAGGGGCTGATGCCAATACTGTACCTTCCATCTTGCTTCTAGGAGCCTCCATTTCATGCCATGGTGCTTCGAGGAGCGTACGCAGCCTTACACCACCACAGCATGGACTGAACTGGAGGCATCTAAAAGCATCAACAAAAAGTGCTAACGAGATACAGGCTGACAGCTCGGAAATGTTGCCATCTCACCCCCTCGTCATCATCACATCAAGGAACTCTGCAGCCAAACCATCAGCCAGGACGGTGCTCGGCACCGGGGTCCTCTCCTCTCCACCTGCGGTCAGGCTGGTGACTGCTCATCCACATCCACTCCTGCACCCCTCTAAAAAACCCCCAAATAAATGGGAGGGGAGGATGAAACCCCTGTGCCCAGCTTGTCACCCCCCAAATCTCAGCCTGACACTTGGTCTCCTAAATTATCCAGAGATGAAGAAAGCTTGTGCTGAGGGACTGAGCCGGTATTTGCGGCTGGTGTTCCACGTGCACAAGGACCAGGCAAAACCCCAGCCTCTCCTTGCACCTCCAGCCGTGCTCCCAGTGACCCACACAGCTGCAAACTGGTGAGAACTGGTCCCTGCCCAGCACTGAGCAGCCTGCTGCCTCCCTCCCCGCTGCCCAGCCCAGCCCAGCTCACACACCTGACCTGCCAGAAGCCTGACTACAGCTTTTCTTAAGTGTTTTTCCCATTTTCTTTACGTCAGTATCGACCCTTTTCCTGTGCGAGGAGAGTCAGCAGCCCTTCCTCTGCACTTCTGGTTCCCTTGCTTGTTGATGGGGTCTGGTGGAAGCACAAATCCTGCTGCACGCTCTTCAGTGGGTCTGCAGAGCCACAGCCACACCAGAGTCATGGAATCACAGAACCACAGCGGCTGGAAAAGACCTTTAAGAACATCGAGTCCAACCATAAACCCAACACTGACAATTCCACCTCTAAACCATGTCCCTCAGCACCATGTCTGCCCGTCTGTTCAATCCCACCAGGGATGGGGACTCCACCACTGCCCTGGGCAGCCTGTTCCCGTGTCTGAATATTGACATTCTTAGCAGCCTCATTTATAGAAGTTATGAAATGCAGGTGAGTGGCTCCTTGCTCTCGCATCACAAGCTCAAACACCAGTTTGAATCAAGGTTGGTTCAAAGCTGCTCGAGAAACCTGAGCAGCAAAACACCTTGGTGCATCCCCGATGGGATGAAAACCCCACGTCCAGGTGAGCTGGGCAAAACCTCCCACATAAACAGAATCTCTGAGCTCAAACTGATCACGTTTGCTTCTCAAGAGAGCAAATCCTGCCTGTGACTTTGAAGCACAAAAGTGCAAAGCCCAGCAGGTCAGGCAAAACCGCTGGGTTTAAACTCAATCACCGGACTTTGCGCCCAAGCACAGGTTTCCTCCATCATCCACCAAACTGCCAGCAGAGTAAAAGTCTCTGGCAGACGAGGGCAGCAGCGTGTGGGGACATCTGCACTGCTCCAGCTCAATTCGTGCTGCTGGCATCTCCCTCACTCCCTCAGCTGATGAGGAGGCAGCTCCAAAAAGCATTTCCCTGCACCACACACAAAGGTGCCACCCTCTGCTGCTCTCCTGCTTCAAAGGTCTCATCCAGAGCTGGTGATTTCCACTGACCCCCTGCACCTGGGATCCTGGACATTTCCCAGAGTCCCAGAATGGCCTGGATTGGAAAAGCCCTTTAAGCTCATCGAGTCCAACCATGAACCCAACACTGACCAGTCCCCTATGACTAACCCATGTCCCTCAGCACTGTGTCTACACGACTCTTCAATCCCTCCAGGGATGGGGACTCCACCACTGCCCTGGGCAACCCCTTCCAATGCCTCAGAACCCTTTCAGCAAAGAAATTCTTCCTCACATCCCATCTCAACTGCCCTGGGCACAACTGGAGCCCATTTCCTCTTGTCCTGTCCCTTGGTCCTTGGTTGTTATTTAAGAAATAACAACTCTGTACCAGGGAACCTCTCAGCCAGGCAGCATGGGCCACCCCTCTTCAGATACAAGCCCTAGAAACACGTCTGAGCATTAAAGGAGAATCCTGGTCTAATTCTCCAAAGCCACATTTCAGTCACCCTGACAGCTGTAGCAGAGCTAGAAGATGAAATCAGATCACAGGGAAGTGGATAGGTTTTTTAAATGGCTTAAAATAAAATTAAACTCAACGTGCTTACGGTAAGAAAACCATTTAGCCCGGGCAGTTCCAGGAGCCACACGGCTGAGCAGCGCGTCCCACCAGCCAGGCTGGCCCCGAGCACAGGGACGCCTGATCCCCACACGCAGCTTGTCCCCACTCCTCGTTAGGCTCCAGAGCTGCTGGCCAAAGCGGGTTTGTTAAATCCTGTTTGGCCAGGTGGTGGGTAAAGACCTGGCTTCTCCACACACCTCGGCTCAGCAGCCAGCTCCTGGACACATCCAGGGGCACAGAGACACTCAAGGGGGTGACACCCAGCAAGTGACACTGGGCAGTGTCCTTGGAGCACAAGCAGTGCCCGAGGGCTGTAGGTGGTCGAGGGCTGCTCCGTGCAGATGTGGAGAGGGAGCCACCATTAGCACGAGAACGTTTTCATTACTATTACTGAGCGGCTGCAGGTTGTCAGCATGAGCCTGTGATTTGCAAAAATTGATTACCAAGCTCAACCGAAACCCCCTAAACTCCTATTAATTCTGCAGTCGCAGAAATTTCCTCCTCCACAGAACATTTAACATTAAAAAGCATGTGATCAACAAGATAAAAATAAATTGGAAAGCGATTGCCACATTCTCGCTCGCCGTGGTGAGGCAGGGAGGGTCGGTGGAGGCAGATGAGGACTTGGGAAGGTGGTATCGCCCAGCTCTACACATCCCTGGCACTGGGGGAGGGTGTCTGGTCCTGCTCACGTGC